AAAATATTTCAGTCATAACATAGTTACAATTTATGTTAATTTATACAATAAATTTCTGAGTAATTTAATGTATAATATCATACTGTAGATATCAGAATAATTTAATTAAGGAGAAAAACAGATGTATTAGGTTGGAACGAAAGTTCGTAGCGTTATTTCATTTATATCACGTTTACATGTTTTTAAAAAAAAATTTGGCAATTGCATCATTTAATAGAACAAAGTTTCAGTTTTAAGAATCTTCTTTTTAATTTCGGTACGTGCGCGCTCGCGCGTGATATATCATTAGTTATTTTCTGCCAAGTTATAAAATATAGGAAATCTTTATTTTTGCATATCCGATTTTCTTCATAAATCTGCTAGAACAGCAGATATATATTTATATTTTCTCAATCTTAATGATTTTATAGAATTAGTTATAGATTTTATAGAAATAGTTTGTAAAATTTCATCTCTCTAAAATATTAACTTCAAAATAATATCTTGGAAATGCATCTTGAAAGTTCTGTCCAAATCTTCTGAAATTCAACTTCAAGAAATAAAGTTATTAAGGAATAATTTAATTTTTCTCGGAATTGAAATATATATAACACGTCTAAAAAACAAATACTGGATGAATTATTAATATATCACAAGAATTAAACTTTGAAATTTTCAGTTTTGTATGCTAAAACGAAGAAGCATTTTCGGTTTAACTTTGGTGAACTTTGTTAAGAGAAATCGATAATATATGTTGTTCTGTGTAAGAAAATACTCGTTGAATTATTAATACAAAAATTCTCATGCATACGCAAATCTTGCGTTCTACAAGAACTCACCGTTTCAGTTTCTGACAGCGGGACATAAGAGAAACGCGAGAAAAATGAAACTCCTTACTTATTTAATGGAAAAGATCGAAACTGTTGATGAAACCGAGTAGCACAATCGCGTTATCACATTGTTAATGGTCTGATTATAGCCACGACTCCATACTTTGGAGATTCAATCTGTATCCCTTGTTGACCTGTTCATAAAATAATTAATCAAAGAGCTCAAGTAAAAATACATCGATTTTTTTCAATTATGGGGGAGCGTTTTATTGACAAGTTTAAGTAAAATATTATGTGAAATGGCGCTTAAAATAACAAAATGGTTGGGTGAAACATCAGGTTAAGCTTAACCACGTATATGTACATATACGTGGTTAAGCTTAACCTGATGTTTCACCCAATGGGCTTCATCCACGACAGGTTAAGCCTAACCACAAGTTAATCAGGTAATGAAAAATCGAGCCTAAGAGAGTAAAAATACAAACACACACATTTTTTCACTTTTTTCAAGGATAATTGTATTTTCACTTTCTTAAAGTGAGATTTCACTGCAAAAAATTTAGAGTGATACATACATCATTTTGTTATTTTAAGCAAAATTTTCACGCAATGTTTATATATATATATGTATGTGACAATCTTGCGTTTCGCGGGTTTTCTCCGTGTTCAGATCCATTCTTGGATGGATTCAAGAATGGATCTGAACACGGAGAAAACCCGCGAAACGCAAGATTGTCACATAGGTAACACCCGTGAAAGCCTCAAGAATATATGTATGTATTGTATATGTATATACACGCACGCACGCACACATACATAGGGTATCGCCGACAATGAATAAAGAAATCCGATATAGAATTTCCTATTGGCGCGCTATCTCGTTGTGCATTCTGAAAATGTTAATAGATGCGTGCAATATGCTTTTACTGCAAATCCGTAAATCGATGAGTTATTATGGCATCACATTTGCATTAAATAGACGAGAACAGAGATAAAATTTGCACTAATAGCTCGGTGCCAGTAATCATTAATTTCAAATCGTATTCCATTATAATTATCGTGCAATGACTATGCGCATTCTTGTGGAAATGTAGCATATGCAATGTATTATTATTTTACAACTGACTCAACATATTCCTTCTATTTTGCATTTGCATGTTATGATGTATACACAACAAATTGATTTTGAAATATACATTAATCCAACGATTACACCTTTCTCAAAATCTTTATACAATCATATTTAAGTTTAACAAGTATGTTCTTTAGTTGTAGTCTTTATGATATTGTAAAATGCAATCTAAAATCATACAAACGAAATACATGAAAATATATTAATTAATTAATTTCTAATAGTTATGAAAATATACTGCTATAAGTGTTGTGTTTTCTTTTAAAATACAATGAAAATTTTTTTTCTCTTTTGATATGTAATAGAATATTTTTTACTTTAATTTATACTGAACCAAGAGAGAGTTTTTGCTGGATGAGATAAAGAATGGGAAGATATTGTATTACGAAAATTTTAAATATATACGCGAAATATTGGAGGTACATACGTGAGATTTACAGAAACGACGCGCACATGTTATTCTTAATAACACTTTGAAACACTAACGAAATCTGATCGATTTAAAATAGTGCATTAGACTAACGGGAGGTATATTTTCACATCGAATGTCACGCCAGTGTGGACGTAAAATTTGTCCGCCAAGATCACAAATCAGTCAGCAGCAAACAGGATACAGCATAAATTAAAACCAACATGCTCGTAAATTTAATTGAAATGGAGAATTCACGTCGTTTTCGAATCAGATGCGACGTTTTCACTATTTGGGCTGCCTGACCGCGCTCGCGGATCGCGAGCATTTAACGAGTCCAAGCATTGATTTTCATTAACGAGCAACGAAGGCGAGCTAAAATTTCCCATCGAATTCGGACAAAATGAAAAAAAATGCACAAAATGCACGCACGGTCGTTAAAAGATTCGACTTTGCGAAATTTCTATAGAGATTGTTTGTGCACATTCAACCTGTATGTGTGACATTAACTTTGAATTAAACACAATTCCTAAAATTTTTGTTTCATTAGAATAAAAGAAAACTTAGTGAACATAGAAGGATTGTTATAACTTTGTTATAAGAATTATAACAGTCTTTGTCACTAAGTTTCCTTTTATTCTATTATGTTTGATATCTTTTGTAATAGAAATAATGATTTATTAGGCAGAGAGTATATAATTATTTTGAAGATACAACAAAAGCATTTTCAAATCTGTATTATTATTCACCTAAATTTTTAGATGCTTCAGCAAAATCATTCTTACCGTGTTATAATAATTATTTTTCTACAAATATTTATTATTTTTAAGATTTTATTTTAATCGAGATTTTCGAATCATCAAAATTCTCTCCTTTCTCTTTCTTTTTTTTTCTTTCTCTTTTATTATTTTTTTACACGTAGAATTGACGCAGCGTGTTCTCCATTCCTGAAATATATCTAATTGTTATGAAATATGCCAGCGTAACGTGCAACGTCAGTTGAGCTTCGAGAGAGCTTACCGATCCAATTGAAAATTTATCCAAGCTCCCTAATCCACTCGCGAGCCAGCTACCGATTGTATGTCGAATTTCAGTGGCGGATCGCTCGCAATCTATCGAATTCCACGCGTGCACGTCATTATTAACGTACCGAGTAAGTACGTGAGAGTACAACGCGCACGGCTGTCAGACTCCTCGAAAAGGAGCAGTCGATCGATTAAATGAATGTATTTTCTATCTCAACATTTGTACGGGAAAAAAATATATTTACAACATCTTATTATTATATCGACATCGTATTAAAAGAAAATCATAAACCATTTCTTTATTTTAGATTAAAAATTTAGAAGAATTTCTCTATTTTTTTATTATAAATAATATCACACAGAAACTTGTAGTAACATTTCCAATGTTACCTACTATAATATAACTGGAACATTGCAATGTTGCTGCAATATTACTGAAATGATTTATAGGAAACATTTTTAATTTACGTATTTAATGAGTTGTGTGCACATTGAAAGAGATACGATTTAATTTTTTAATGCTAGAACTGTCGTTAAATTTTTAATTTAGTTTTTTAATAGAAAATTTACTGTTATATATTTTATAACTATATTTTCTTGGCTTTTTTTATAATTCTGCCTCTTCTCTTCTGCGTAATATTTATTCAAGCTATATACACGCTTTCACTTAATAAATCATTTATATAATAAATCAAATTGTACATTTCTGTATTGAAATGCGAGTCTGTAATAAAACACTAAAAAGCTTTTTGATGATGGTAAAATGTAAAAGATATATTTAAAATAATATTCTGTTTAAGATTATAATTTAGTCCTTGATAAACATATTATCTGCGAAAAGTCATTAAGAAGTCAATTAATTTTAATAAATGGTATATTTATTTTATGTGTATATAGAAAGAGTGAATTGCAATTATTAAAGCTTGTTTTATTAATAGTGTTTTTAAAATTGTATTGCTCGGGATTTTCATTTGCGCCGCCTTATATATTATATTTTCTTGATATTTTAATAATTTGAGCCCAGTATACATAATCCGTCTTTATTTTAAGATCTTAAGCGACTTGTGATTGGCTCATGAAATATCAAGACTATACTTAAAACTATCTTTTTAAAAATTGACTATGAAAACCGATTTAAGAAGTCTCTTTCAAGTAACACAATAGGTGTAGTAAGCCTTAAATCTTAGAAATTGATCGATCATAGTCGATTATTCTTCAGCTGTAATTAATCAATTTCTTTAGGCTTAATTACACTATTACTGTGTAATGAGATTAAATTTGGACAGCTTGAACCTTTAAATTTAAAATCCTGAAAATTCTTGAAAGTTTACCAAGTATTATTTTTTTGTCTGATTACATGATCTTTTGATACTTTATCGATTTGTATTTTATATAAGTTCTTGTTGATAATTGCGAATAATAATAGCAATTAATGATGTTTGCTAAAGGTAAAAATATAACGCTGTATATTGAGATTTCTGAATTACTTTCCATATTTAAAATCTTCCAACGGAGATGCTTAAAGCTATTTTCTATCATGTATTGCACGTAATCGCCGCTCGTCTATGATGGCAGTATCGCACTGGAGTGTGATGTGCACTCTGTGTAGAAGTGCAGGTAGCAAGGTGTACGTGTTACTCGTGTAATTTTTGCCTATCTTGTGGTGTGAAAGATCTAAACCGAGTTATAAGATTTTTTCATCGTATATGTAATGTACATATCTTCATCAAATATACAGTGCGTTTCTTAATTAATATTTGATAATTGTTATGCACATAAAATAAATATTAATAAGAGTTAATAGGCTGATTTAACTTAACCTCAAAATCCTAGATTTTAATGCGTTTTCCGATTAAAATTAAGTTACATTTTTATAATCTTTTAGAAAGATTAATTAGTAATTTGTTCAGTTCATATTCATAACTTTATAGGAGACATTTTTATGTAGTTAAAATTATATATAAATTTATATTATTGAGATTCTTCTGATATATGTGCATGTTATCTAAAAATACTGTATTTAAATTTTTCATGATTTTTATTACTTAGAATGTCTATAATCATTATATAAACATTAGGTAAACAGTTTTTACAATGATATGTTTCTGTTTAAGTTTTCATGAAACTGGAACTGATAACAAGAAAAGAGACGAAGATCTATTCTAATTGAGGACGCTGGTGTATGGAAATGGGACCTGGTGAATGATCTAAGTTGAATATTTTACTTGATATTCTTTGACATAAGTAAACTTAATACATTTGTCTACAGATAATCAACTTGGACAAAATAAAGCTATGCCAAAGGTTGATATAATAAAAGATGCAACAAAGCTTAAATCTACAGATTTAATTTATATGAAACGTTTAGAAGAACAGAATTTTCAAAGAGCAATAAATGTACAGAAATATCGCAAAGCTAATAGTCGTACTGCTATTGGTTTAACCCTTGGAGTCATTGGAATTTATGTTTATACAATATATTCAGTTAAACAGGAAAAATTCTTAGACGACTTTGAAGTACCAGAAAAGACGATTGAGAAGACATAAAAAGTATTTTGTTTGAAATATCAATAAAAAAGTTTACTGCTTATTGTATTAAATAGATAGTATATTTTTGCTTATATAATAGAAAGCTTATTTTTTAAAGTGATATTTTTATCCTTTCTGGAGATCATACTTTGTAAACCATCTGTTTTACATAAGTGTGTCTGTACAAGATTAATATTTGAAGATGTCTGCTCCACGATTGCCACCACTTCCAGTCATACGAGATATACTGAAATTATATAATTTGAGTGCCATAAAACGATTGTCTCAAAATTTTCTTCTGGATCAAAATATAACTAACAAAATTGTAGCAAAAGCAGGAAAAATTTCTGGGGCTGAAGTACTGGAAGTCGGTCCAGGTCCTGGTGGATTAACCCAATCTATCCTAAGACAGGTCCCTGAACGATTAATAGTTGTGGAAAAAGATAAAAGATTTAAACCGACTTTAGAGATGTTAGCAGACTCATTCGGTGCGATTAATGGAAAGATGGATATAATGTACGATGATATCCTAAAAACAAACATGGAAAGTCTATTCTCACTGGAGAAAAAGAGAAATTGGAATGATAAACCTCCAGATATCTTTGTCATAGGCAATTTACCGTTTAATCTAGCGACACATCTTATAATTAAGTGGTTGCATGCGATATCCGAACAACGTGGACTTTGGGCATTTGGTAGAACAAAAATGACGTTAACGTTCCAAAAAGAAGTAGCGGAACGTTTAGTAGCTCAACCATTGGAAAACCAACGATGCAGGCTGTCAGTAATGGCACAAACTTGGACTTTTCCAGTACTTCGTTTTATTATACCTGGTAATCAAACAGCATTTTATTATGTTATATAAATTTGTTTAATGAAATTTATTATTTACACTCCAATTTATAATTTATAGGTAAAGCTTTTGTTCCAAAACCGGATGTCGATGTGGGAGTGGTGTCATTTACGCCGTTAGTCAAACCACGCACACAGCACGATTTTAAATTCTTTGAAATGATAACGAGGCATGTGTTCAGTTTCAGGCAGAAGTACAGTGTACGATGTATCGAGTAAGTTTGTTTATATTGTAAATTACCCCTATTATGATAATAAATAAAACTGCAAATACATTTTTTATCTTTTTTCTTATAGGACTCTATTTCCGAAGGAGCTTCGCAAAGATTTAGGTTTGATGATGTACAAATTGGCTGACTTGGATCCGACGCTCAGGCCGACGCAACTTACCATAGAGGATATAAACAGGCTAGCAACCGCTTACAAGTATCTGCTCGAGAAACATCCAGAGCTTAAATTGTATAATTATCGCTCATCTCGGCATTTACTACCGTTAAATGATACGAAAAATGTTGTAGTACAGGACTGTGCAGAAATGTTGGAAGAAAATGTTGGAATGAGTATCTGATCGGAATGGTCTATACTTGATATATGCATCAAATTTCAGTTTTATTAAATCGCAGATTGTAATGTAGCAGATTAATTTGTTACAACGAATTTCTGTTAGAACTTTGTGAGGAAATCTGTAAATATACATTTATATATATACACAATATGGCTTAATTCTTAAATAAAAATAATGTACAATTTGCATGTTGTGTTAGACGTCATAAAAATACTGTTAATTATTTGGAGAAAGAAAGAGAATAATTGGAGAAATTAAAATAAGTATATTCCGACAGCTTTACAAATTGTCGATGCGGGCCAATTATACGGACCGTATACGGCACCCTGTATCCTTGACGCTGCTGATTCATGCGAATTTTTCAATACTATTAATCTGTGCGCCCTATATATAACCTCGAATCTAATAAAATCTACCCTATTAATATCATTTTCGCAAAAAGCGATACTGGTGAAAAGAATCGCAGATGGAAAATGCAAATAACGTATGTTAACATCCGTAAATAATCTGCGAAAAGAAAACAATACCCAATACACCGATCAATATCACAGCTACTCGTCTCGTCTTTTTTTTGAAAATTTAATCATTAATATTAAATAGTCCTATATATATGTATATGTATGTGTGTGCGTGTGTGTGCGCGCGTGTGTATATATATATACATATATATGTATATGCAGACATATATTATATATATGTACTTAAGATTATTCATTAGGAATCGACGAAATTGTGCGCGACTCTCGAAGCCACGTAGCACTTTATTTTACAGTGTCGTAGGAAACTCAAGTTTCTGCAACGTACTGTAACAACCGAACACAGATGGTCATACCTCGAATTCGGTAAGAACTAGACTTTCGCTCGTCGACGGCCGCGTGTCAACGAGGCGAGGAAATCCTTTGGTCTAGCGTTCTCTCTCCGCAATAAATCATTACTAATTCATTTGGAGATCATATACATGAATTTATGCCATCGCTTAGACTTCTTCGCACTGGTGAAGAACTTCAGTCGCTTAAGAATGCGGTAAATATATCCAATAGCATCTTATTACGTATGCACTTATTACATCTAAACCTTTATTAGTTCCTCGCTACACCACAGATCATGATATTAGGAAGGGCCCCTCGACGTTTACGCCAAGCGCCAAGAGACTGTGCGTGAGCCTGTAATGTTCTACACCATCTTTTCGTTCTCGCGCCATCCTCTGCCTATAATAAATCAATTTACTATTTATTCATATCAATATCAATAAATTATTTACAATTAAAATTCATCATCTCGATCTGCATTTGAAATTAAGTTAAATAATCTTACCTTAAATATAAACGTCTCTTTAGAAGACAATTCCTGTATTTCGAAATAATCTTCGAGATCCGTTTCACAACATACTATGCATTTATCGAGGTATAGCGGCTCCTGAAATGATATCGATGGTTTAAAAAACAGATTCGCGTGACTCTCTAATAAAATAATGTGAAATGTACTAATCACTCACTCGTAATAAAGAATATCGTCCAAGTTTCTCTTTGACCAGAAGTAAGGTAGCTTCCTTGATACCTATGTGCTTTGGAAAGAGCGACTCATCGTTAAATTCGGGATAGTCGGCATTCGGCTGAAAAATCAAAATTTTATTTATATTTATGCACAAAATTATTCGCGAGACACATTTAAAGACACGTATTGTACATATTTACCTTGCCGTTTGTAACAAGCATGGCAATAACAGGCGCAAGTTTAACAGTTCGACCGCGTCTCCAGTTATTGTCAGTCGGCTGCGCTACCAGAAGACGTCCTTCGAGGACAAATCTAGCGTCTTCGTGTGCCCATTCCAAAATCTCGACAGCCATCTAATGTAAATTTTATAAAAATTAATAGCATGATTAAAGAATTAAATAATTAACACTTTAAAATTAAATAAGTATAAATGGAGCATCTTAATTAGATTTACACACCTTTCTTAATTTAATATTCACCATATCCTGTTCGCCAACGGACCGTCTACCATTCTGAATAATCGATATTCTCCTCCACAATTTCGTCGACGTAACATCCTTTGCCTCCTATTAATTATAAATGCATATTTATTTTCAATCTTAAATTGTATTAGATTTGTACAACGCGATATACTTACAGCATTCATGTGTTCCAAATGTAGCTCGATATTTGTTTGTGCTTGCTTAAGCCTTTTTTTCGCTTCTTGGATATCAGGTCGGACAGAAGGTGTCGCTTTGAGCAAACGTGCCAGAAGCAGAGGATATTTCGTAACTCTTTGGACAGGAACCTGTAAAAAATACGATACATAAAATTATGAACGTATGATTTATATCTTTCATTCTTGAATAAAAAATTAAATCAAGGAAATGACATTACCATTAAAAAGGAGTTCAGATTCATCCTTCGCAAAACCGTGTTCTCCATTTGAGAAACTCTGAGAAAGATGCGAAGAAGCTCTTTCTCCTTCTCTAGATTTTGTAGTAACAAACTGGCGCCGCCTTGACGCGTGCAGTAACTCTCGAAAGCGTGGAGCATTCTTTCTGACTCGAGAAAGATCTTACCCACGTCCACCGTCAAGAGATCCTCGTCCCCGGATTCCTACACAATCAAAAAGATCAGACATCGCAATGTATATTTTTCAATATTCGTCGCGTATTTAGAATAAGAACTAAAATACATGTCTTGCGAGAGTTTCTTACCTGAGCGAGTTCCACGCTGTCCTTTAATTTCTCGGCTAAAACGAGATTATGTTCCAGCAGCTCCTCGACATTCAGGAAGATCGCCGATAATTGTTCTGACGTGAGAAGACCCGCTCTGAACATCGGCCGGTGGAACTCTTCGAGTATGATCTGTAGATCTCTGCCGTACTTCTGCTCGGTTTCCACGATTTCCGTGATAATCTCTTTCCGTTCCGCGCGTTTCTTCGAGCACTTCCTGCACACGAAAGGCGCATAAACGACACCGCTGAAAAAAAACATGAAAAATAAAAATATCTGCGCGACGCCGCGATAACGCAAACGTTATAATTAAGGAAGTTGCTACCAAAAAGATTTTGTCAGATGAAAGCGAAGACAATCGAATATGAAGCTTGCAACTACTACAAATTTGTACGTGTAATCTACAATCACGGACGAAAGCGGCTGTCGCAACTTCCGGACGCATATTGCATTATCCATTCATCAAGCGTCAACCGCGCTCTTCGATAACGACACTTTCGCTTTCGGGCAAATAAAATCGATGGCGGGAGAAAGTAGCCCACTGTTTCTCTCGCGCTGCATTTGTCGCATAATCTAGTCGAACGAATTCTTAGATATACTTAGATAAATTCTAAACGCGTTCAATAGCCTTGCTTTGGTATTCAGAGAGCCAAACTTGCCAAGAGTCTTTAATCAGTGCCAAGAAAGAGTAATCAGTCTATTTTCAATTTAAAAATAAGTTCAATTTTTGAAAATGGATCGTAAATATTGCTCAGTTCAAAATGGACAGAAAATGCAATTTTTCAATGCAATTGAATAAACAAAATTTTTCTATTTAAAATACAGATGAATTAAAAATTTCAATGCATTTTAATTCGTTCTTATTTACTGCAGAAGTATTAATTAATCAAAAAGCTCGCGTTTTCAGTAATCAGTGCATTAATTCAAGCAAAGATGATTTTTCGATTG